GAGTAAGAAGTCCTCTAGCTTGACATTATTTTGATATTATGTTGAAATAAATGCTTGAGGTGTAGATGCGGACTATGTTATTTTGGAATAATATCAGTTATTCCGAAATAACACTGCTGTGTAGACATATCCTAAGGCAGTGTTTCTCAACCTTTTTTTTTAAAGCACCCCCTTTAAAAAAAATTAAATTAGTACTTACAGTTTTCAGACACACACAATTTTTTTATACCATTGCAACACATTTGTTTAAACAACTTAATCATAGCCAGGCAGGCGATGACATTTTTGGGTATAAAAAGTACAAAAATAATAAAGTGCTGTAAAACTTACAACAAAAATTCAGTTTTCTCCAAATTTCAGTTGTGTCGAAGTATCCCCCAGACTTCTCTCGAGTACTCCTAAGGGCACTCCTACCACTGATGGAGAAACACTGGCCTAAGGTATATTTGTTAGTCTCTAAGGTGCCACAGGACTGCTCTTTGTTTTTCTAAGTTACAGACTAACACGACTACCCATCTGAGACTTTTTACTCTCCTAATAGAGTCTTTTATGAAAATGTGACAATATAAACTTATGCTAATATGAGATCGGAAAATAACCATCAGCAGTGGTAAATCCAGACTAACAGTCTAGGGTTTTATGCTTTCAGAAGCAAATGCCCCTAAATAATTTATCAGGGTGAAATAATGGAATAATTAAAGCTGGCCCAAAAAATAGCCAACTTCTGTTATGTTAGCACTGAGCCAGCATAACTGCAGTCTGTCACTCCCCAGCCCCCCAAGGGATGTAGCATTAGTGTGAACACAGAGCTGCACTCTAGCTAGTCTTGGGCAACCAAGCATATTTACCTGTATCAAAAACCAAACTAGCTCCTGACTGAACCCAGAATCCAAGGAGTGCAAAGGTAGCTTACAGCCTACACTTTATGCTGAGCAAAGCTTGTCTGGACTGATGAAGCAGGGCCTCTGTGATTCAATTATTAAGCCAGGTTGGTGATGGGATGAACTGTTGCATCTTTCATTACAACATCTCCTCCAATACACTTAGAAAAACAATAACTTTCATCTCATTTCAAATGGACACTAGACATACTACTAAAGCTTTTGGCATAAAACTTACCATGGGACTTTTGAAAATAATTTTATGGGATAAGTGGAGAATAAGCTGTGCTTAAAAAATGGACTGTCTTATCATAACGAGTGGAATATGGAATGATTATTTTTGTGATTTCCCAATAAAAATTCAAATGGATAGGTTATTAATGGTGGGTTTTTAAAAAGCACTCAGCATTGGCCTAACTCTATTGTAATATAAGACAATTGGAGTGGTGCTGTTGACTCCAATCTGAGTAAATTTAGGCTGCCACCCAGCACTTTTGAAAATCACAATCCAAACAGCTGCATTTTAATAATTATGCTGTAAAAAATGTACGGGATCATCCAAACGAGACAAATGTGGAAAATCATCTCTTCTTTTGTAAAATCAGCATCTGTATTCTTCTCACATGACTATTTATCCTTCTTAAATTAAAAACAGTCTTTAAAAATAATTAATTAATGTTTAATATCTGGTTATTACTTGTAATGTCAATACAGTTCATGCATATCAATGTAATTTATCTTACACCTTAGATGGTTCATTTAAATATTTTATTACAAAAAGAGCAGGAAAATTATTCATTGTGTAGAGCAAAAACAGAGTCTCTGAGGCCCAACTATAATATAACGCCTTATGCAAATCATCACAGTCTAACAAACAATGTTTAAATAGATTCCACAGGTCAGTTCATCAAAAGATGAATACACTGATCCATTATCCAGTATTTCCTTGGCAATTACCATACTCTAACTTGGTGGCAAAAATTATCTCAGACGTCCCTTAATATTTTTTTTCTTTCTAGGGAATTTAGTGTCAAGTTCATCACCCCTTATTCAATTATCTTCAAGGAATTAATAGGACTAGTTGTGCAACACAGGTATTTTGGCCTTTATTTATGGTACAGAATAAAAATTAGGGTGACTGAAGTCCTCTGGTTAGTCAAAGAACAGTCATAGCATGGACAGTGTCAGTTCAAACTTCTGTATACTGTCTCATTTGACCCAAAGAAAACATCTGGCAATTTTCTGGATAGTCACTCAAATTTTTGTCTCTGCTAAGATTGCCGACAAAGGTAACAACTGAACTAAAGGTTTGTGTGATGTGAACTGAGAACACCTTCTCATGCCTGTTCTGAAGCCAATTCTTAGAGTACAGTAAATACAATCACAAATATGGATCCTGTTGACAAGTATTAGAAGAGATTACTTACAATTCTACACTGTATGTTATATTCCTTAGATATGCTGTAGTGCAATATTAACAGTTACAATTCAGAAAAATAAGTTTGGATTGAAAAACAAACCTCATGTAAATACGTATGACGTCTCTCTCTGTCTGTCAAATGTCGAGGAGTAATAATTTCAAATGTTGAAAGCCTAGATGTCTGAGAGGCTGCACCTAAAAATAACATTTAAAATCTCTAAAGAAATAGAAAGTGTATATAATACACAAACTTTGCTCACAATGGTCACCATAGAAAATCAGTTTAATCAGGGGCAGCTACCTGCAGGAAGAGAAAGAATAGGCTCATCGTTAAGGCAGTTGAATGCCATAGTACAGTGTTTCTCAACCAGTGGTACGAGTACCCTTAGGAGTACTTGAGAGAAGTCTGGGGGGTACTTCGACACAACTGAAATTTGGAGAAAACTGATTTTTTGTTGTAAGTTGTACAGCGCTTTATTATTTTTGTACTTTTTATACCCAAAAATGTCATCGCCTGCCCAGCTATGATTAAGTTGTTTAAACAAATGTGTTGCAATGGTAGAAAAAACATGTGTGTGTCTGAAAACTGTAAGTACTAGGGGTACTTCTAATTTAATTTTTTTAAAGGGGATACTTATAACTTTTTTTTAAAAAGGGGTATTTTATAAAAAAAAGGTTGAGAAACATTGCCATAGTAAACTGGTTTCTATTCCTGCCATGGCTATATTCCTATGCTATGCTGGGCAAGTCAAGTAAAGAAAATTTTCACAGGTGACCAGGATGTTTTTCATTTTCTGGGTATGCAGTTTGAGGCTTCTAGGAGCTAATTTGCAGAAGTGCTGAGTGCCCATAACTGCATCTAAAGCCAATAAAGGCATGTCAACATTGCAATTAAACTGCCCTCCTCACCCCTTTTCCCCCAGCTGGCCCAGGTCTGCAGATTTGGGTTTGTAGGGCTTGGACTAAGACAGTGATGAGCAACCTATGCCCTGCAGGCTGCATGTGGCCAATCAGGGTTCTATGTGTGGCCTACGAGACATTTTATTTACTATTGCCCATGCATAGGGTTGCCAGATTCCACTGGTTTCTGTCTGCATAGGTTTTTTTCCCTACTGTTATCTTTTTCCTTTCAATAAAGCAGTTAAACTCACTTTTGCCTGCGTTTTTTAAGCTGAATTTATATACTGTATTTTATCTATTAACAGGTTCCTGAGGTTACTGAAGTGGCTAGCAACTCTGGTCATGAAGCTAATCCTTACAACACTTCTTTTCCGAGTATGCCTTAATACTTTCACTTGAAATTTCAACATCTCAATCTTTGTACCATCTGAATTATGAATAATGGTGATATACTTTTTCTTAACAGATTGACAATCTTGTTAATTTTTCTTATTTCATCTAAAAGTACATTTGATTGTATACTCACTTAAAGGCCTTTTTTCTTTGCTTTATTATTTCGAAGAGTATTTAAAACATATATAGCATTAAGTGAAATCCTTTTTCCACTACCTGGTATCAATTGTTAACTAGCTAGCTGCTAGTGGTTGTCAATTTGTGAACCATTCTAGTACATCTATCATGCACTGCTTACATAAACACAATCTGTATTAACTCTACTAGAGATTATTTTATTTTTCAGACCTAGGCAGAAAATTATGCCTGGATGCTGACATACATAAAATTAATAATTAACTTATCCATGTATGGAATCCATATTTTATAGTACTCTCCTTATGCCTTTGGGATACATACAATGCTACATGTTTGCCTGGATGCCATACCCCACCCAAGAAATAGTAGCAATGCAGTGTTACTTTTACTGAGTACCGTACATATAATTTGTAAAGTTGCTTGGCAAAATCTGGCAAAAATGGCACCAAATAGGTGTAAAATATCACTACTGAAAATAATTTGATAGTGGTAAGATAGGAGAAAATATGGGAAGGTAGTGTACAAGTATTTTAAAATAATGATTCCCCCTCATCCCATTTTAGAATCCAGAGTCTAATTGTTACCTGGAAGTAGAATGGAAATTCACTCAACTCCAATTGTGAATTAACTCATTTTGAGAATTAATACACAATACATAGAAAAAAGTTAACATATTCAAATGTATACATTTTTTATTTGACAAGTGTAGTTCAGTATTAATTTTTAGTATAATAATTCATAAAACCACTTGGGAATATGCAGATGAAGAGCATTATCTAAGTGCTAAGAATGATTGTTATTATTCTATAGTATATTTCATAAACATTTTGATTATACTAGACTTCAGCCCTCTGCTATTAAACCTTTGCTAAGAAAACTTGATTTGTAAATTATGGGTATGTATTAGCAAAGTGAAAGTTAATAAGTTGTTTAATAGCTAGGAAGCCATTGAAATACAAAAAAACTCTGTATTTCAATGGCTTCCTAACTATTTAACATCTAATGGAAAAAAAGCAAAATAAGGCACAACTGGGAGAGGGGGAGGAGGTAAGCTGTCAATTTAGACCACAAACTGGAAAACTTTGGGTATGATTTAATTGTATTATGTATGTAAGTTGCCTTGAATTTAAAGAGATTATTCACATGTGTAAAGCTAAGCACATAAGCAAATCTTTGCAGGATTCGGGATTTATCTATTTTCATAGAGTTAAACTTAAAATAGCCTCAGGCCATCCAGGCTACGTCTACACTGCCCGCTTATTTCGAAATAAGCTATTCCAGAGAAATACTGCAAAATAGCTTATTTTGAAATAGCATGTCAACACTACAGGGAAGCCTCAAAATTACTCCAAGGTAGGCTCCCTTAATGTGGATGCACTACCTTGACTTCGAGCAATAGCCCTGGGGAGGAGCTATTTCACAATAGCAGCAGTGGAGTATCCACACTTCTGGTATTCTGAAATAACTATTTCAGAATAGGTGTTATTCTTCATAGAATGAGGCTTACAGAAATTGGAATAAGCCATTCATTATTTTGAATTTATATTGAAATATTGGAATTGCTGTATGGACACTCACACCATTCATTATTTTGAATTTATATTGAAATAATGGAATTGCTGTATGGACACTCGCACTGTTATTTCAAAATAATATCTGTTATTCTGAAATAATGCTGCTGTGGAGATGCAACCTCAAGAGCAAGAAGAATCATGGGAAAGATAAGAGCTTTGCATGTGCACCCTTTTATTTTTTCAAACACTTATTAACTGCACACTTCAACATACCACCTGCCCAGAAAAGTCTATATCATAATCTCTTTAACATAACAAATGTGGAACTCCTTGCCAGAAGAGGCTGTGAAGGCTAGAACTATAACAGAGTTTAAAGAGAAGCTAGATAAATTCATGAAGGTTAGGTCCATAAAAGGCTATTAGCCAGGGGGTAGGAATGGTGTCCCTGGCCTCTGTTTGTCAGAGACTGGAGATGGATGGCACGAGACAAATCGCTTGATTATTGTCTTCGGTCCACCCCCTCCGGGGCACCTAGTGCTGGCCACTGTCGGCAGACAGGCTACTGGGCTAGATGGACCTTTGGTCTGACCCAGTACGGCCATTCTTATGTTCTTATGGGATGACAATTTTAGAAATAAAGCTGAAAAAACCTGTGTTATCTGAAGAAGTGAGCTGCGTCCACAAAAGCTCATGATACCATCCACATGTTTTGTTAGTGTTTAAGGTGCTACTAGACTATTTGATGTTTCTTAAGTTTTTCTTATTACAGACTAACTTGGCTACTCCTTTGAAGTTTTTGTGTTATCTCAGTGTTTTTATTTTGGATTTAAATCAGTCCGAAATTATCTTTCTATCCAACTATCAAACCTACATTCCCCTTGGTTCAACCCTACTTTCTCCAGGTTTCTCTTTCTGCACTGAATTAAACTTTAATTTCTTGTCTTTGTCTTCAAGGTCCCAAAACTCCTCCCTCTCACTACTTTTACAATCCTATTTCCTCACTTTGTCTTTCACCTCTAATCCAGCAATGACTTTTTGTTTGTTTGTTAGTCATCACTGCTCACTATTCCAACATACTTTCTGCATTATTTCAGAATTACTTCAGTGGAATAGCTATTAACCAGGAAACTGGAGATAAAAAATCTGTTTAGATTCTGATCTTGGCAATACAGATTTACATTAACATAAATACCAGATTCAAATGGTGATCTTTACTCAAGGACCTTTCCTTCCAGTTTGACTACCCACTTGAGTTTGGTTTTAACCTTGCTGAAGTCAACAGAAAGTCTCCAGTTGACTCTAGAGGGGCCAATGGAGAGTAAATTATACATTAATTTTAACAAAGCAAACAGCCTTTCCCCAGTTGAACTGTGGTCTAGATAATAAGCCAAGAGAATTTCATTTCAAATATATGGCAAGATCACCCATGACAGAGAAAATTCCATGGAAGCAATCCAAAAAGACACCAAAATTCATAATGTTCTCTTCACAGAGGTGATGGAGGGTTATCCAGCACAATTTCTGTAGAGGGTTTCTTCCTACTAAATTCTCTAAGGCTTTTAAGAACTGAATGTAGTACAATATTACTAAGGACTCTACAATTAAAATAACATGGCTTCCGCAAACAAACATGTTTGGAGTTTGTGACGCTGGGAGGATTTATTGTTTCAATAGTTAGATTTTGTAATTTAATTTATAAAAATAGCCATCTAAAATATTAGTACTTAGCGCTTACTTGTTCCTTGTATGTTGCTTTCCATATTCAAAATATTGATAAATATTAACTAACCTGCACAAGCCCCTTCTCCCTCATATGAGGTAGATAGGTATTTTATTCACTTTTAAAGATGAGAAAAATGAGGCACAGATGGCTTTCCAGAACCTACAGAGGACACTGAATAAGGGTTTAGAGATTCAAATTAGTGCAGCAACGAAGCTAATTTTCTACATATTGAATAAAATCTTCCCTTCATTAACCCATGAGCATTCCCATTGTCAATAAAAATTGAATTTTCTCTCAGTCTGTTTTACGTAAAAGTGTAGCATTGGAATGGAAGCATATATCATTTATTGATCCACTTATCTCTATAATGCTGCATGATCAGAGATACAGTACATCACCAAATTAATTTTTAAAACAATTTCTACTAATTTATACAGGCAGTCCCCGGGTTACGTACAAGATAGGGACTGTAGGTTTGTTCTTAAGTTGAATCTGTATGTAAGTCGGAACTGGTACATATTGTAGGGGAAACTCTAGCCAAACATTTCTCCAGAGCTCAGTTTTATTCTCCCACACCTCACTTCCCTCAGTCCTTTATTCTCAAGCTGAGGTGTCTGGCGGGAGGGTGGCGGGGGGGGGGGGGGGGGAGGGCGCTAGCTTCGTGTCTCCCTGGTCTGCTGGGGAGAAGCAGCTACTGCGGGGTTGCTTCACCCCGTTTGTAAGTAGGGATCCGATGTAAGTCGGATCCATGTAACCCGGGGACTGCCTGTATCTTGATACTAGAAGGGGAGTGGAAGTACACATATTAATGTAATTGAGTCACAAATATACAGGTGTATAATGAATGTTCCATAAATTGTAAATGAAAATAAGAAAGTATAAAATGGGAAATCCAACAGAAATATACAATTATTTTCAGGGAAATTCTCTCACATCACAGAAGACCTGAAATTCATCACAGACAAGGGCTACAGTTATTCCAACTGTCACAATCAATACTTTGTACAGAGCATAGCATGATGGGGTTTTGGCTTCTAAGCACTACCATAGAACAATGAAGTGAAATCAAGGAACATAAACCCATCTACTTGAAACACCTGTGCATTATTAAGCTTATTAATATAATTATACTCAGAATTCCAGTCTGTTCAGATGATAAAAACAAGCAAGACTGCTTGTTATACATGCTGACCAAAGGCACAGAAAAAGAACAAACCATACTTACATGTTACACATGCACACACACAAATACATACTACATAGACTTCATCCTGCAGTCAATAGATTTTTCCGGGACTTGTATAAGAATCTTGCTTGAATAGAGTTCTGGATGATGACTTTTGTGTACAAACATAACTTGTAACATCTTTCTGACTAAAAATTAAAACTGAAGCTCACCTGCTGTATGAACTTGCTTTCCAATAAATATTAGCCCGAAACCAAACCAAAGTAAGTTGCATTTTAACATAGTTAAGTTTATCTGAGAAAACACAACTACTAAGATGTTCAGAAACACGGTGTTACTGAGGATGGCGTTTTTACCAGCAGTTTCCCCTAAATGAAGGAACTAGAAAAACAAGAACCTTTTGTTGTCAAGGCAAACAATAAATAGCACTGAAAAAGTACTTCAGGTATGTCAGCAAACACTCCCAAAGAAGAGGGAAGTCAAATTTCTCACATTGCATTTGACAAAAACTGGTTGGACAACTTACAACAAACCCAGTATAACATGATTGTAAACGCTGATTGGAGAAGGCCAGCTGTGATTCCCTTCGTAAGGATGACAAGACGAAACTTTGAGACCAAAGTCCAGAATTCAGAGACCAGCAACAATTTACTTTCGAACGTTCACAGGAAAACAAAGCACCATATAAGCTAAGTTATAGAGTTCATATGAACCACCTTAAAAAATGCATCTTATAATAAGATTATAAGACAAATGCAGATTACTTGGGTTCAGTTTGTAATTGTTCTTTATTTTTTACTGTAAGATATTTATTTCAGAAAAATATGAAAATATTGTATCTTTGAATACACAGGTATCACAAACATTGACCAGAAATGCAACAGAATGTAATTACAATGATGCTATTGTTAACAATAAACTTTGGCATCATAAATCATATTTTGAGTCAACCTTTAACGTTCCCAAAAGCAAAATGATCTTGATGACTTTTTATATGCACATTTTAGTCCTAAGTAAAAAAAAAAGAAAAAGGTTTTATTTCAATTTAGATGAACTGTACAAATCATTTTGGAAAATTATGCAGAACAGTCTTCTTTCCTTTCTTTACTGAGATAAAGTGGTACTTTTGTTATGCAATTTTTCTAGGAATTCTGAAATTCATTTTTTCCATATACTGATAGAGCACAGACACATTCTCTGAATACCCATGTAAACAAGGACTTCATACAAACCAGGAAGACACCTATTGCATTTGTGATTTATGAATTTGTTCTTATTAGGGGTTTTAGAGATTTTTTTCTCTTTACCGATATCTATGTTTCTTCAGCAGACGCCTTTAGTGGCAGGGTATTTTAAAGTCTCTTACAAGCTCCCACCTTTTATGCTTGAAGTGCTAGAAAGGGGAACAGCCTTAACAGCTGCTGCAGCTCTGTCCCTGCTGTGGGGCAGCAGTGCCACCAGGCTGCTGAGGACCTGGCCCCACTACTACCAGCCCTGCCATGCATGGGGCTCTTAGCTGTTGGCCCTCCTTTCCTGGAGAGTCCCAGTTTAGGGTGGTGAAACCTGTAGTTGCAACGAGTTATTTCAGAAATAGTTCATAGGTTATAAATCCAATGACCATGTTCATGGTGAATCCAGGATAGGACTGGAGATCTCAGAATTTAGGGCTTAAGCTTCAAGCAGATCTGAGATCATAAGAAATCTGGATCCCAGACGTTCTTATAGTTCTTGGTCTTCTTTGACAGCTCAGAAAAACAATAGGCAATTATTGAGATTTTTAAATAGACCTGTTTCCTAAGTATCACCCATGATAGCTGTGAGAATTAACATAAGGCATTTGCCAGTTTTCCACCATTTGCTGTACATTTAAAAAAAAGATGATGAATTCAGAGATATTATTATGCTTACAGTTCACTTAAATGTTAATATTTCCTTTTGATCTCTGAACCAATAACTGTAGGGACAGACAGGAACAATCTGTGTATATGGCTAACAGATAACAAGATATAAGTACATATATACACTTAGTATCACCTCAATTCTCAAAGAATATATATTACACTTCAAAGTTCTAGCCTAATTACCAGGGGATGGACCTAATTACCATTTACACACTTTTCAAATATGTCTCTACAGATTGACTCTGGGTCATTTAGCCTGCAGGATACCTATTGTTTGTATAAAATTCATTGCAATTCTATAACAGCAGTAGCAACAATAATTTGCTTTGTCAAATTACATAATGACACAATCAGAGCCTCAGGGCATGTCTACACAGCAGGGCTACTGTTGAACTAAGCAACACAACTTCAGCTACGCCAATTGTGTAGCTAAAGTTGAAATAGCTTAATTCGGCTTTTGGCACTGTCTACACAGCAGGAAGTCAAAGGAAGAACACTCTTCCTTCAACTTCCTTTAGTCTTCATGAAATGAAGGTTACAGGAGTCAGAGTAAGAAGACCTCCGGCTCAACATTATTTTAAAATAAAGTGTAGATGTGCTTGTAGTGTAGACTTGTTCTTTGTTATTTCGGAATAATGTCAGTTTTTCCAAAATAATGCTGCTGTGTAGACACAGCCTTAGAGAGCAAAGATTTGATGCTAGGCTCCTGAAGTAGAGGGAGGTTTTAATACTGACTTCAGCTGAAGATAGAATAGTCCCTATATGAGGAAGGATCCTAAAGATAAAAAAATATATATAAGGACATATGAAAGGCCATGGTAGGTCAGACTAATGCTCCATATAACCTAGTATCCTCTCTTCCAACAGTGACCAATGCCAGATGCTTTGGATGGAAACAGCAGAACAGGCAATTATTGAGCGATCAATCCTGCCCTTGACTCCCAGGCTTAGGCCACTCAGAGCATAGGGCTGTGTCCCTGACCATTTTGGTTAATAATCACTATCCTCCGTGAACTTACTTAATTCTTTTTAATCTATTTATACATTTGTCCTTCATAGCATCCTATAGCACTGCATCCCAACGTTGACTGTGTTTTGTGTGAATTAGCACTTCCTTGTTTTAAACCTGCTGTCTCTTCATTTCACTAGGTGACCCCTGGTTCTTCTATTAGCAACATCAAAATCTTCCCAAATGCAGTGCTTTTCACATCTTACTATTCATACTGAAGAATTATACCCTTGTTTTTATAATCAAGATTTGATAATCTTCTTATACTTTTCTTTTTTTCCTTTACTCTCACACAAGAGTTCACTTGAGACACAATGAATTTTCAGTTAGATGAAACAGATCATAATCAATCACTATAAATATCCATTGAAATAAATTGTTCAGTAACAAATTCTAAAATAAATGTGAAGACTGTCTACATGATGGAACCCAGCCAGCCAGCAACTTTCTTTATCAGAAAAGGTGTATTGCATTATGTATTCAAGCTCTGATGGTGCTCTAAAATTAAATCAACTGCATAATTCCCTTCAACTTCAGCAGTGCAGGATGAAGCCCATAACTTTTTGGTATTTTTACTTATCTACTTCACATAGATGTTATGAGGAAGTAGCCACTAATTTTTCTAAGGGAAAAGAGAGCACCTCATTCCTTTGTCTGATTTTTATAAAAGCCCATTAGTTTGCTCTTGTTGACCTCACACACTAACAGGAGCCTAACCAATCTGTCACAGAGATAACCATAAGCACAGATATCTCATACTCATTTATCTACTTCTAGTCTGACTTTTCAGGATGATTCATGTGCCCTAGGTTCTCCCACCATAGCATGTTACCAACAGGGCCCATGTAATCCAGCCACCAGTGGTGAAACAACAGAGAACCAGGGAAAAAGTGCATAAAACTGGCCATACTAGGTCAAGTCAAATGTCTGTCTTGCTTAGTATCATGTCTTCTGATAGAGATCAAAGCCAAGTGCTTCAATGGGAATGAATAGAACAGGTAATCATAAGATGATCTATCCCAGGGGTGGGCAATAATTTTTGAGCGGGGAAGGAGGACACTTCAAAAAATTTTGAAGTGGTCTCAGGCCACCCTGGAAGGGGCAGAGCCTTGGATGGAAGGGGCAGAGCCTTTAAATAGCAGGAGTTGAAAGGGCTTGTGTTTCCCAGGCATCTCGGTAGCCAGAGACGCGAGAGCCTTTTCTTCTATTTAAAGAGCTTGTGTCTTCCCTGGGGTTGTTGCCTGACAGCCACCGGGAAGGCACAAGCCCTTTAAATAGAAGCAGTTGAAAGGGCTCACGCATCCCTGAATCCCAGGCAATGGGCTAGTGTGGGGCTGGAGCTGCGAGCCCTTTCAGTTGCTTCTATTTAAAGGTCTTGCACCTGCTGAGTAGCTGCCAGGCAACATAGCCACCCGGGAGGTGCAAGCCTTTTAAATAGAAACAGTTAAAAGGGCTCCAAGCTCGGGCGCTGCTAGCGTTGACTGGGAGCCATGAGGAAGGCACGAGCCCTTTAAATAGAAACAGTTAAAAGGGTTTACATGTGGCTTCCAGAGAACATGCTAGCAGCAGGGCAGGAGCTGTGAATCCTTTTAACTGCTTCTATTTAAAGAGCTTGGGCTAGCCCTTTAAATAGAAAGTTAAAAGGGCTCACAGCTCCAGAGCTTTTTGCCTGGGAACTGGAACCACACAAGCCCTTTAAATAGAAGCAGTTGAAAGGGCTCGCACAGGACCTGGAACAGCTGCATGGGTCAGATCAAAGCCCTAGGCAGGCTGGACCTGGCTGGCTGAGTGGCTTTTGCCCCGATCTATCTCATCACCTATTTCTAGCTTCTGGCAGAGGCTAGGACAGGGCTGGGCAAGATGTAGCCTGGGGGCCAGATCTGGCCCACCTAACACTTTGATCTGATCAGTGTACTGCACCTGGCTGCTTTCTATTCATATCCTGGTGCCCGTGCCACTGAATTTCCAGGGGGTGGCGCAGGCAGCAAAATCCTATTTAAATGGCTCACTGTAAATGGTTTACAGTCATAGCGCTATCCCGGCAGAGGTCAGAGCTGCAAACCCTTTAAATAGCCGCAGCAACCCAGATGTCTGCCAAGAAATGTGATAGTGACATGAGCTGGGAGCCCTTTGCTGTGTTTTTAATTAAAAGCCTGCTGCCCCGGCAAGGAGGCTAGTCCCTATCACATAAAAAGTCACGATGGGCCTGCAGCTCAGCAGGCGGGGGTGGAAGTTTCCATCCTTGAAGTACATAGCCTGGGACCCTCTAAGTGCAAACAGCAGATGGCCCTCATCATCTTTAACCCATGCTTTGAGCTACTAAGCGGTAAACAAGTTTGACCTCAGTCTCAGCTCATGAAAGTGGTAAGAATGGCATTGAGCCAGTACACGCATAACCGGTAAACAACTGTAGTAGAACTAGTGTAGGGAGTCTTGTGCCTGGTGAATCTCACCAGGGACCTAGACCTTGGAGGGTCCCTGGATTCCCTCAGCTGGAGCTATGTCCACTGTGGCCTGGTGCGAGGTGACAAGGAACAGGACTTCCCGCAGACTGAAGGGGAGTAAGCATTTCTAAGTGCCTGTTGCTCGCTTATGCATTGCTCTGCCTGTGCTTATTGATGTGTCACTTTGTAGTAGCTGTGTAACCATAGGGCAGCATTAACCCTGTTATAGTAGTGACATAGTGAGATTAATAAAAGCAACTATCCCTAATCGATTCTGTGTGAAGCGAATCCATATTCCTGTTTGGCCATGCCCCTGCAAGCTGACAGTCCCCAGCCCTGCCCCTTCTGTCCCAGGCCCAAACCCTTCCAGGGTGGAGCTGGCCCATGACCACATAACAAAATTCACTAAGTGCCCTCCCTCACTAAAATTATTGCCCACCTCTGGGCTAGGGACACCATCCCCGACCGTCCTAATAGTCACTGAAGAGCCTATTCTCCATGAATGTATCTAGTTCTTTTTTGAACCCTGTGATAGATTTAGCTTTCACATGCTGCTGCAAAGAGTTCCACAGGTTGATGGTTCTTTGTGTGAAACACTGCCTGCTGTTTTTTGAAAACTGTTGCCTATTAATTTTATTGGATAACCTCTAGTTCTTGTGTTATATAAAAAGGTAAATAATGCTTCCTTATATACTTTTTCCATACCAGGTATGATTTATGGATCTCTGCATATCCTCTCCCCCCCTTTTAATATCTTAATACAGCCAGTCCTCGAGTTGCGAATGGTCGACTTACGACAGTTCGCAGTTACGACCAAAAGTGTCGTAAATGGCAGACCCCAAGTTATGAACACGATCCGCGCTTATGAACAGCGCGGTCGCATGTAAATCAATGGGGTCCGACTTACGAACAAACCAAGTTACGACCAATTGCTTGGTCCGTAATCGGTCTGTTAGTTGGAGACAGACTGTAATCCCAATCTTTTTAATCTTTCCACCTATGTAAACTGTTCCATACCCTTAATTACTTTTGTGGCCCTTCTCTGTACCTTTTCTAATGCCAATATACCTTTTTTGAGTGAAGGCAAACAGAACTGCAGAGATATGCAAGGTATGTACAAAAATCTTTCAAGGTGCAAGGCTTAAGCATTACAATCATTATGTCCTCCCTCTTCCCAAGGTCTGTGCCTATGCCCAGTGAGGGAGCATATAGCCTCCCCCCAAAGAAAACCTGGGCTGAGGCCATGTTGTTAGTATTATGGGGACTTTCACAGAATGGAGCTCAGGGTTGTAAGGTTTCCACCCAACAGCTCTTCTGACCTAGTAATCCCAAACCCTGTATTTAAAGTCCTTCTGAACTGCATAGCCATGCAAACACTCAGCACCAATCTATTCCAGTCAGGAGGGATAGGAACTCCTCTGTCAGGCTGAGGCCCTAGGAGAGACACTTCTCCCACCCCAGTCCAGGTGTTGCTGCAGAGCCAGAAAGCAGAGTCCTCCCTTTCCATCGCATCCCCGAGACAGCCTGCACCCAACCCCCTCATCCTCAGCATCACCCCAAAGCCAACCCCCTCTTCCAGCTGGAGTCACCCCCAACCCTTTGCCCCAAACCTGAGCTCCTCGTTCCCTGACTATCTACTAGCCCACACCCACCCAACTGAAGCCCTTTCGCGCCGCCCCCCAAAACCCTCTGCCCCAGTTGAGCCCCTTCCCCCAATCCAATCCCTGAGCTCCGCCCCAGCCACATGACTTTTGTTATGTGCACCAATAGGGAAGTGAGGAGCCACGCACCGTCTCCCTATTGGTGCACATATCAGAATTTTTTTCCCCACAGGGGGGGG